CAACCGTGAGCAAAGTGAAACAAATTTTGCATATCCAACTCTGCATCAAATCTCTTAGCATAATAAATCCATAAAGGACCACGATGACCCGGACCTTTACAGCATCGATGCCTGTGCCACTTGGGAAGACCTCCCCTCCCTCTCCCCGCCCCCTCCCGCCTCTTTTCCCCTTCTGGTTCGACCTGTGACACATACCCGACATAAAAAATTGGATATGATAAATTAGTACCACAACTGGACCTCGTCAGTACAGTGTGAAACGAAGACGGCGCAGTAATTTTGAATGATCACATAAAAGTACCTGTTTTGCATGCAAATAGCTAAATAGCATTGGCGAGTCTTAACACAACAGCAGCTTCACGTTCTGAGAAATACTTTAAAGATATGATCGTACTCAACAGTTCACCACCCAGGCACAGCTCCACCACCAAGTAGATGCTCAAGTTATCCTCATATACATCATAGAGTTTCACAATATTTGCATAATGCGAATAACGCTTCTATATATCAACCTCTTCTGTGGGATCACGCTTTCGTTTACCAATCGCCTGAAAAATTATGAAGCAATTGATTAAGATGAAGCGGTAAATTTTTTTGATTTTGGTGCCCAATTTTGGAATTATGCCTCTGAGTCGGTTAAATTTAGGAGTGACAACATTTGAGGCAAGAGATTTTTGGGGTAATTACTAAAACTCGGCTTGGCTTGGCTAATACTCTGCTAACGCTATTTCGCAGCGAGCCTCGTCGACTCGCTTAGCACTTTGTCAGATATGCTGAGTAGCGATACCTGGCGTTCGGCTATTAGATCGCGTACTTGGGAAAGAGGCGAGCGGTGTGGGAGAGGGGAGTGAGGTTGCACGTGGATGGGTAGAGGGTGTTCTTTGGTAGGTGTTCGGATATAGCTCAGGAGGCACGGATTAAAGCAAGATAGAGCAGAGGAACAAGGGGATTAGTGAGGAGTAGGGAACGATTAGTGGTGATAGTGGTTGAGATGTCTCTCTTCAGACAGGGTTTGGGGCAAGATGGGGAGGCGAACAAGTTTGTCTATGGAGCTGTTTATGATCCTAACGCTTAACTAAAACAGAGAGCTCTCACTTCTACCTACGCGTCAGCTATTCGATCTTTCAGTTTTACCTAAACGTCAGCTTCACTGTATTCGCTCTCAGTTTTATCTGAGCATCAGCTTTATAGATGGGGAAGTCCCCTGCTGATGGCAGTTTTCATTTGCTTTTATTTTTTTCTTGCTTTTACTTTTTTTTGCTCCTCTCCTTCCCACCCATCTCCTCTCCCCCCCCCCCTTCCCCACCTCACGTTGCCTAGGCAACTGCCAATAGAGCGGACAATTGCCGCAACGACGAGATCCTGTGAGGCTCACCTCGAAGGGATTTACTACTTACCAGTATTGTGAAAGCACAATTATTCGTACCGTAATAGCAAATCTGATACGCGACTATTTGTGTACACATCGCCTGCACACCGAAGATGAGCCAACTCGTGCGTGAAAATCAGGAGAGGCTAATTTTTCAGGATACTTTGGATCAAATATATCGAGCACTCACCAATGCAGCAGTATCGATACCGCTAAAATCTGTTAATGAGTCGGCGTTGTCCCGTCGTCGGCGATTGATGTGAGCGAAAAATTCTCCCGTGATGATATCGAAGAGGCGAGCTGTGCTGAAGTAGATAGC